TTTTCAACGACCATATAAGGCGTGGATTTCTTAAAGAATATTTTTTCAACGACCATATAAGGCGTGGATTTCTTAAAGAATATTTTTTCAACGACCATATAAGTCGTGGATTTCTTAAAGAATATTTTTTCAACGACCATATAAGGCGTGGATTTCTTAAAGAATATTTTTTCAACGACCATATAAGGCTTGGATTTCTTAAAGAATATTTTTTCAACGACCATATAAGGCGTGGATTTTTCATCTGAATTAATAATTCGTTCAACTGTGGCAAACACATATAATTATTAATTGAGATCACAAATTGAAAACATTTATCATTTTGGGAGACATTTATTTTTGCTATGATGCCCTACAGTTTTCAAAACAAAAAGAGAAACTAATAACAACAACAATGTCATTACAAGAAAATATTTCATGGTTCACCGCATGACATATGTGTTGGTTCTCTACCTTTTCCATACTACTATCATTTATTTCTTGCTTCAGTTTTTTTCTGTTTCTGTATTTTTTGTTATTTATTGTTACAAGGGTCATTATGTCACCCATAAGTATGTTGAACAACACACTACTGCCACTACCTGTGTGTGGTATGGGAATATATCTGTGTTTCTATGTGTATCTGCATGAATGTGCAAATACATCATTTAGAATCTCAATTCACAAACAACAATTGAAGAGTATAATTCACTTTGTGCCATATTTCATTGCTGTGACATAATAAATTACTTTTCATACATCTGGTGTGGTGGGTTCTAGTTTAGTTTGAGTTTTTTCTTTCATTCTTCCTTTGAATCTCCAGGTTCCTTTTCATGCTTAGGTGTTTGTTTTTTTTTGCTTATGACGCACAAACTTGCATACACACACACTTTATTGAGCTTCATTTTCTTCTTCGGCTGTAAATCAATTGAAACTGTAACAACCAAGATGTGTGTAAGGTGTAATGAAAGAGCAAACTTCATATAGAGGATGACAGAATTTATTGCTAACATGTGGTCTTTAATAAACCAAACGAGAAAATGTAAATGAAATGGTAAATAAATTTGAAACATGGATTTAATAGAAGTTTATACAATTTCAATAAAATATCAGATAACAAATTGAATAAATAGAAATACGATTATATATATTTTTTTAATTTAGATAAATTTTATTGATATTTGGTTATTGTATGATTTATGAATATATATACGAAACATTTCATAGTAAGCAATTATTTACGAGTCTAAAATACCTACGAAGAATTCACAATTCATATGACAATGAAATATAGTAGATATTTTTAAATTTAATCACAAAATATGTTAAAACCAGTTACACGATCGAAGAAGCAATGAAAAGGAAAGCCACATAGATAAACGTTTCACCGTTGGTTAAGCTGCTCATCAGGCATATTAGAAAATGTAGTTTACAAATACATTATTTGATATTTTTGCAATTATATCTAAGTCATTTTTAAATTGTATGTACGAATTAAATTCTACCGTAACAAAGTTCAGCATTTATTATCACATCAGAACATCCATTCTTAAAGTAGTTGGTAGGTATACATCTTAATAATTTTTAATAATAAAATGTACATAAGAAGTTTACAAAGAATTTGTTGCCAATGATAAATAAATACGAGGGACAAATATGACAGAAATTGGTTAAGATATCGGTGTAATTTTTATGGGTTATAATATCCATCTAGTCTAATTATTAGAGGTCATTCCACCATAAAATAACTTTTTTTTCATCTCTGTCATACTCTCCACGATTTTGAGATGACCTTGTGTAATAAAAATTAAAATATGTTGAGAGTTCTTAAAGGGATTGTGATCTGTGGTGTTAGAATTATTTTATGTTAGCAATATGGAGCTAAGTGGAGTCGCACAGGCAAATTAGATTATATCGTATACGTTTTTTGTCGCTATCAGCCCACGATCGGGATGTACCCACATCAATGATACGCTAGCTGACCTTATGCTGAGAATTTGTCTGCTAGGATCGAATGGATTTGATTCACCTTTCTAATATTTATATTATTAAAAACCAGTAAGGAAACACCCTTCACCACTTGGGGTATATTCTACATATGTCTCCCAACAGACGACGGCTGTTCGAAGGAACATTGACGTGAAATTTAACGAACTTAAATATGTGATCTTTATCCATATTTAAACCGACTAACATCCATCGATTTAGACCAAACTTGACACATCCTATTTGGTGTCCTGCACTGTTTAAAATGCAATTTCCATAAGGTATGCATTGATTATTTAGTGTACAATTAACATGAATAGGTCGAAATTATATATGGAAGCTAGGTTATATCTATATCTGAACCGATTTCAAGGAAACTTGTCCGAGATTAATTTGTATTAACTTCAGTACGTTGAGTCATCGGCCTAGCTATGGATCTTTAGTGGGAGCTATGGATCTTTAGTGCACCATTAACTTAAAATCAGACGAAAATATATATGAGAGCTAAATCTAAATCTGAACCGATTTTTAGGAAACTTAACACACATTATTCTAGACTTAATTCAGTACGCTATGCTAAATTTCGTGCAAATCGAAAGATATATATATAGTGACTTTGGGACACCATTTTCAATAAATCGGAGAAAAATATATATGGAGCTATACCTAAATCTGAAGTGATTTTCGAAAACTTTACACATATCATTCTAGACTCAATTCAGTACGCTATAATAAATTTCGTGCAAATCGAAAGATATATACATGTCTTTGTTGCACAATTTACATTACATCGGACAAAAATATATATGAGAGTTGTATAAAAATCTGAACCAAAATTCGTGCAAATCGAAGGATGTGCATAGATATTGGTGCAATATTTTCACCAATTTTAATAGGGTTCGTCCTTGGGCCAAATAAGGGACTTATTATAAATACTACCTGAACATTGTTTACAATTTAACATCAACAGACGGACGGACATGTATAAATTTACTCAGAAAGTGACACAATACCCTTTACCACAGTGTGGCGATAGGTATAACAAGTTAAAAAATGTCAGCCGATGTTGCCGACAGATATATACCCTCAGCCTATGGTTTGCGTAGGCATACGAAATTACACATAGTTTTTATAATTTATATTGGATGTTATCAATGAAAGTGGAACGGTTGTTCTCATCTTCGATACAAGAATTACAAGCTGCAGATTGCAGATGAAATCGGACAATCGATTCGCTTGACATTGGATTAACAAATTAAAAAAAAATTGACACTGGTTGGCGAGGTACCAGAAGATAATCTTAGTAAGATAAAATATGACGTTGTGCTATGACGATGAATTAGAATATTAGATTCGCTTCAAGAAGGCGCTTCAGGAGATGTATAAATTTTCAAAATGTTGACTCTTTGTGAGGGAGATCCAAAAAGGACTGGGCCCATAAGTCTCATCTTTGAACAGTACACAGTCATGGTTATAATATTTTGTTGTGCAAAGTTCAAATCGATCGGTTCAAATGATGTTATATAACAAATTGTTGATCATTCTGTGGGGGATGTACAAGAAGGAGTGAACCGACGGGTTCCATTCCATTACGATGTGAAGAGTTTCGATGTCATTCCATTCGCTTCTTATGAGCTGTACAAGTTTCCATGCTCTGGATCCTTTGTGGGGGAGGTAGTAGACGGAGTGATCGACAATTCCCATCTTTATATACCATCATTTGCCATAAGGCTAATCCTTTTAACGAGTTCAACATATTTATGGTAAATATACCAAATTTATGGTCATGTTATACGCCCTTTTATATACAGTGGAGGCCAAAAAATATATTTTGTATACAGTCCAAGTTATTTCAATAACTTTGTATTCAGATAGTACGATTTTTTTTGGGGATCCAAGGTTTAGTATTAGTTAGTAGCCAATGACTTTCATTCCCATAAGGAATTTTCCATCCCCAAATAATTATCTATAACGTAGTAAATTCATTCTTCCTAGCTAAAACGTCCTGCATTAGTTCTTGTCTTATATACATTATATCTTATTAACCTAATATATTAGGAAACTTTTTCGTTTGATACATATTCTCGGCATACTAAATTTTAGTAATACTACGAAACTTTTCGACACCACAAAATATCATGTGTCAAATTTTAATCTTGAAAATTTTTGTTATACACCTACATACACCCATATGATGCAAAATATGGATGTTTCTATGGAAGCTCAATACAAATAACGTATACGTAACACTGCAACACATTAGCATCACATCAAGTATACGCACGGTGTGTAGGTAACACAATCGTTATCGATTATACGTCACATGATACTTCAGTGACAGTGTGGAAAGTTTTGAATACAATACCATCGACGTTATTTTAATTTTGCGAAAAAACGTCAACATCATTGAAAGCCATATGCACATCTCGTCGTTTTTCTCGTTAGAAAAATATTTCACGCTTCAATGAATCATAATCATTTATCTTCATTTTTAATAATACTGTCAAAAGTTGAACGCATAAAATAGATATGCATGCACGCACGCAAATACGCGCGCATTTATCGATTCAATGCATATACATATATAACATTTGTGATATATGTAAAATACAAAAAAGAAGAGGAAAAAACTTATTTCACATAAAAGTGGAAGAAGAGCAAAATATGGAACCACTTGGGCGGCGTCCTGTTGTTATATCCTCTTATCACAAGACCACATCCACTTGGAGGTGTTAGATACCAAACAACAACAGAAATCCTTACGCAGCATGTAAAACAGCATTCTTCTTAGCATGTCGACAGAAAAAAAAAAACTGTGTAATTTATCCTAAGCACTTTTTTGGTTTTCGGTGCTGTGTGTATGGTGTATTACCTTATATGATGGATTCTCTGTTTTTTGCTGAATATTAGTATCGTGTAACGAAATACTTCTTGTTGTTGTAGTTGTGTGTGTGTTTGTTATTTTTTGTTATATTGTTATTTATTTGATCCTTGTTTAATATTTCGTTTTTCTGTTTTTTTTTTTTTCTTTTTAGTATGGAACGTGATTTGATGACTCGTACCGACAGATTTGGTGTTGAAGTTCGTGAACGCACCATGTGGGATATTCGTGATGGTGTTGTGGGCGCTGAAACATTTGTTCCGAAACACGTTGTTATTACTACCTGGAAAAATGTTTCCTTCGCTGGTGGTATTGATAATTCCTTGTTTACGGTAAGTGGTATATGAGGTTATGTTCTTGATTATGGTGTAAGTATAAGGAAATATTTGATGTTTGCTAAAATGATTAAAGTCGGGTGGGTCGACTGTAATATACCATGCAACATTTTGTGGTATATAAATATCTATTTTTTACAAATCCCCAAATTACACAAAGCGTATTTTTGCAATGTTGGTCACAAATTACCTTACGTCCATCTTTGTTAAATTTTTTGCACATCAGAATATATTTTTCAAACATAGATCTTCTTGGGGATGACGAAGTTCTCTCAAAATAATCAAAATTTCGAAAAAGAACAAGATCGATCGAAACATTTCAATGGGGTCTATCACATAGTAAATTGCTGCGAGTAAAAAACGAAATTGCTGACACTCAGGTGGAAAGTGGAGTTAGAGACTTGAAGAAACCGAAAATGACCCGCGACCTTTATATGGGACCTATTTAGATACATGGGTATATATATGTTCTGTGAAGAAGTTGTGTACCCACTTAGGTCCTGGAATTCCAAATTTACACCATGATGGTTCTGTGTTGCTAATTTTAGTAAGAAATATTTGCAAAATGTCAAGATTTGATTCAAAATTGTATAATTCGTAGTACTTGAACTCAGCCTTGATCAAGGCTGGAGATGAAGCTGGTGGGTCTTTAGCTTTTGATACAATCCTTCCCCCCGTATGAAGTGTATTTTAACTCAGTTTCGATTTAGACCGAGGATGAATCCGGGATAAAAAAATCCGATTTTGTTCAAAAATTCCATAATATAAATCTAGATTGTGTGTTAAAATTATATACAGCTCATTGCTTCTCATCCAAACATAAATTAATTGTGGGTATGGCTAACAAAAATTCCAAGTATTGTGACTTTGATTTTACTTTGGGAAGTAAAATCAAAGTCACAATGGGCTCAGGTTTGGAAATACAATGGCTGCTGTTCATGTTTTTATGGTGGTCACAAGGTGCAGGAATTTTTTACGGTACTTTGGGATGAACTGAAGTTCCACTTACGACTCATTTCCTTAGCAATGGTAGCGTGTCACTCTCTCTGTTCTAAAGTTTTCAATATCGACGAAATTGAACACGAGTCAAAAAGCGCCCAAGCAAAGTGTTTAGAACGTTATTCCGTAACATTTCAAGGAGGTTTATGATACCTGTATATATTCTGCCTATAGCAGACCTTTTGGAGGTCTTAATCTACGGATATTTTTAAAGAACTGTTTCTATTAAAGATTCTTTTATATTTAGTAGCCCATTAGCACACTAGAGGGCGGAAATATAGCGCTAATCGCTTTGTAATTTTCCATGAGATTCCCGTTATGGCCAACGACAACGCCTATAATTTTCGTTGATGATTTTGGGATGAAGTGGACTGAAAACTTATTTTTTTTATTGTGTTTTTGTTTTCGAGTCGATCGACAATTGAAAGCCCAACATCACAACATAACCCACGGTAAATAGAATCTGGACAAGTACACCTCTCGTCTACTGAAATATTTGTTGACATCTTGTCGGTCAAGAGGGTGGAAATATCGCGAAATATTGCCCAAGCTCTGAATATAGAACCATATAAAGTTAGATTTTCGTCGAAGTTGTGTAGGGTATCATATGGTCGGCCCCATCCGACTATACTGCTTCGCTCACTGGTTTATTTTTTTTACTGGTTTATATTAAAATAGTTATCTGATTTGTTCGATGTGTTAGGGTTGTCCCCAATAGGCGTATTCTACCCTAGTATGGGGGATATTCTTTAGTCGGAATTGCCAGTTTTTATCCTACGAAGTATGGCATTTTAAGACGATTTAGTCATCTATTGTAATCATTCCGCCCTCTAAGGATATCATGATAATAAACTCGAACATGACGACGATAAAATATATCGGCCATCATTTACAGATACAAACCTGAAATGGGTTCGGGTTCGAAATTGAGCTATATCGTTCATTACATAATTAGGCATAGCCCCTCATATAATGATAATCCCAAGTGTTGGCTAATTCCTAGCTATGTAATTCAATATTGGTCCACCTTTAAGCGCTGCTTCATATAACTTTGAACTCGAAATTGCAGTAGTTTGAGGATTTTATACACATATTCCACTCTACCATGATGAATATTTACCGGGTCAAATGGACCCTGACTTTTGTGTGAAAAATTACAAAATATTTATTCTGGGACGTATATACTTGCTCCTGAAGGACATATACTCGAGATGTTGATAGTATGTCCAAGATGAGTTGTTGACCTTCAAATTGATACCTATTATATGGCTCTATGTACTCCGATGCGGGAGTTATACGTAATTAAGTGAAGGTGACTATGTGCATATTATTACTATTATTCCATTAGAGGACGGAAATGTCTCGCTGATCGCTTTGAAATTGTACATGAAGTTCCGATTATGGTCAAGGACGACGCCTATAGTTTTCGGTGAAGTTGAGATTTCATTCAGGGGGTGCAATGAACCGAAAACTTTAATTTTGTCAGATTTTCTAGTCGCTTTAGAGGCAATAATTATATACAGAACATCATATATTTTACAAGGTGAAGGGGATCTGACCAAATACTTAGAGCGGCTGTTTAGATGATGATCGGTCAATTTTCCGAGGGTCAAATCAACCAAAACAAAAGTGGCCATGTTTTTATTCTATGGCGTAAAAATTCTCTTAAAAAAAAAAACATTTTGGGAAATATGCAAGTCTTAGAAATAGGAGTTGTTGATCTATAAACTGTAAAAAGGGTGCAAATATCACGAAATATTGACCAGGCACAGAATATAGAACCGCCGAAAGTGTGATTCGTGGTAGTTGTGTAGGGTATCATATGGTCGGGCCCGTCCGACTATACTGCTCCGCTCACTGGTTTTTGAATTGAAGTAGAAGATATACTCACCCATAATTGTCAAAAAATTTACCTCAATTTCCGCATATGCGAATTTTACTGGTGTTGCTCCATGAGCCTAGATAGCAGCTAAATTTTATTGCAATTGAAAATTAATCCTATCTGGAGCCCAATTCTTGTTCTATCTGAGTTATAATAATTTAAAAGCCCAATGATTTAACAACTTAAGCGGTATATACACGTGTGTACATAATTCTTATGGCATTTCTTCCATAAATAATCAAATAGTTTAACCATCGTGCAGCAGAATTCCCAATAAATTATTTATTTTAATTTTTTAAAATGCAAACAAATTGAAGCATTTTCATTGAAATTGTGTAATCGAAAATTCATAAGAAAGAATGAATGGAAAAAAATACCGCAACAAATATTCATTTCATATCCATAAATAATTCGTATTTACGCCATTAAAGGTAGCTGGCCGGCTGCCTGGTCACATCGTACGTGAAGTGTCATTTGCTACATATAGAAATGTACATAATGTGTTTTAAATATACATACACAATGTATCTTTGAATTCACGTTGCCAGTTATACCGTTGTTGTTGTTATTCTTCTTGAATAATAACAACAATTCTTAAGAGTTATTGGCATTTGTCATAAACGTATGGGTGGATATTTATTCTCAAACACTGAATATGATGATGATGATGTTGGAGTGGACAGTTTATTTAAGTAATTGCAGGGGCGTTTGAATATTTACTGACAACAGAAACACGCCCCAAAAACAGACCATTACCGCCTGACACGTTGTCGAAATTTAAGTGGATGAAGAAGAAGCTGTTGATTTTGAAGAAGAAAAGTGACTATGTGGTGCAGGTTACTAATGTTTCCATATTTCCGTAGGTATGTTCTTAAGATACTTTCGAAATTAAATTATACTAAGGATTAAAATCTGAAAATAATTATATTTAAGCGGCAATAAAACCAATTCAAATCTACAACAATTCCGATAATCGTTCAAATCATAATAAGCTCCTATATCTAAAAAGTTCTTAGAAAATTTCGCAAAGTAACTTGCCACCCTGTCACATTTCAATACACTCATACATATATATACCGAAATACATAATTAATAGCATTTACACTGTAAATCAAATAGCGAAATATTCAAATGCAAACTGACTCAGTCATAATTAAAGTGTCCATTATAAATACGATATGCAGCACACACACACACAAAACGCATTTGTAATTACAAAGCATACAACTGTAACTATGCAGGACAAGCACACACACCCAACCATCCTTCGACCCAAGCATACATACACAGATGTATGCATTTATATAAATGTGCATTGTTAGCATTAATGCAGCCAAGCAATAACACCAGTAACTGAACATTGTAACTGAATTCCTTGGTGTCATTTGAATACCTGGCAGACAAGTTCGTTTGTCTGCCACCCTGACAAAACTGGGTCTTATTTAATAATGCCATTATTTACTACAACTACTGGGGAAAATAATGTCATGTCATTTTCTGTGTTTATGCTTTGGCCAGGATAATGACAATTTTCACATTACACAAGTAAATAACAATGAACGTGGCATGAAGGAGTATGAATTGTTTGTACATATATTTCATTGTAATGATTTCGTAAATTGTTCATGATAATATGAAAGAGATGAGGTGTGAGGGACAAGGAGACTCATGAAAAAGGACCACGGAGTTATTTAATACATACCTATAATTTCATGCGTTGTAAGCATTTTCCGGGTTTCCATAATGTCAAAGAAAAGTTGATCAATTTGTGTGTGAATGATTCGGAAGGTGTGTTACCATGGTACAATTATAAAAGGTAACAGCAAATCCCAGCTGATTTGATTCCAACGTAATACTAGTGTCAATATGAATTTGACAAATTATGTTTTTAAAAATCACCCAACGGGAAAATTGGGAACGCATACAATTTGAAATTGTTCTTCTTTAAATATGCTCCCGTATTCAATTTACTCAATCTGCCTGCTGGGAAAGTTTGAGGAACCTAATCTTTCTTCATTGAATAACTCGCAATTCCCTGAATTTTCATATGTGTTACATATATAAGTGGCAATAGCTCAATTATAGGAAGGATGTGGAAGCGACAGAAATATAAATTTGATAGATTTTTATTCATGTTTTTCAAATTTTATTTTGAGGATTCGAAAATATTTAATTTTCAAAATAAATATAATTTATTTGTTTGTTTACATTTATCTGTCAAATGATGTTGACACTAGTAGAACTTACAAAAACAAATTTCCATGTGGTTGTTGTATCGTTTGTTGTACAACAACACTTGCTGTTACCTTCTATTATTATACCATGGTGTGTTACAAATATTGCAAATATTTACAAAGATTTATAAACGAAAAATAATAATAAACCAGTGAGCGGAGCAGTATAGTCGGACGGGGCCGACCATACGATACCCTACACAACACGGAACTCAAATTTTCTGCTGATGTATATTCCGAGCCTGGGCAATATTTCGTGATATTTCTATCCTCTTGCCCGATTAGAGGTAAACAGCACCTCTTCCTCACACTGACATATTTTCCGAATATTACGAGTATTCAGTACAGCTATTGTCCAGATTCCCTTCACCGTGGGTTGTGTTGTGATGTTCGGCTTTCATTTGTGGTATATAGATCGCCTCGAAAATAACAAAAAAAAAAAAAAAAAAAAATTAAGTTTTCGGTCCACTTCATTCCATAATTATTATCTGACCATCACCGAAAATTATAGGCGTTTTCCTTGACCATAACTGGAACCTCATGGAACATTTCAAAGCGATCAGCGATATAGTTCCGCTCTCTAGAGTGATAATGGGTTATCAAATAATATACGAATACCGAGATACCTGTTAATATTTAAGTGTAACTCCCACATCCGAGTCATTGGTATCATTGGTAATAATTTAAAAGTCTACCACTCCTCTAGGATATAATATAAACTTCTCGGTTCTATGTCCTTCAGGGGTAAATATATACGCTACAGAATACAAATTTTGTCATTTTTCACACAAAAGTCAGGGTCCATTTGACCCGCTAAGTATTGACCGATCTTTATGAAAACAGGCATGCTTATTCTTTGGCCTGATCCCCTTCTCCATGGAAAATTTCACGATGTTCGGGCCATTATTGCGGCCTCTGGAGCGACCAGAAAAACCGACAAAAATTAACTATTTGGTCCATTTCATCCTCTAAATATTTATCTGATCTTTACCAAAAACAATAGGGGTCTTCATTGGCCAGAACCCATCCTACATGCAAAATTTCGTGAAGATTGGTCCATAACTGTGGCCTGTATCAAGATCGACTCAGCTAGTCGAGATATGACGATCGGTATACTTAAAGGTGGGTCTAGGACCAATATTTCGCGGCGTTACAATCTTTTGGGGATGCACAAAACTATAATACCCTGACAACATAGTTGTGTAGGGTATAAAACATTTCTTTTTATTTCCTCCTCCAAAAAAATACCTTAAAGAATAGGAAAATAAAATTTCCAAATTTTTATTTTCTTCTTCGTGTCATAAGAAACAGTAAGCGGAGTAGTATAGTCGGACGTGGCCGACTATATGATACCCTACAAAACTACCACTGAGCTCTACGTTTCAGTGTATTTATATTCTGAGCGTGGGTAATATTTCGCGATACTTGCACTCTCTTGACCGAATATAGGTCATCTTTTCCGAATCATGTATTCCTTGCGTAAAAAATAATCTATAAAATTCAAATTTTTTTATATTACATAAAAAAGTGTTTGATCCGCTATATATTGGCCGTTCGAATTATTTGGTCATTCGAATTATTTGGTCAGATCGCCACCACAATGGAAAATTTGTGATGTACGGCTTATAATTGTGGTGTCTAGAGCGACTAGAAATCCAGCCAAAAATAAAGTTTTCGGTCCAGTTCACCCCTGAAATAGCATTTGATCATCATCGAAATTTATAGGCGTCGTTCTTCATCATTATCGGAACATTATTCAAAATTTCCTAACAATAAGCTCTGCACGATTGATCAATAACTGTCACCTGTATCGTGTTTACAAATTATAATGGAAATCTATACAAATATTATAAGAATAAGAATATTTTTATACCCTTCACCACACTGTGGTACAGGGTAGTATGTCTTTGTGCATATGTTTGTAACATGCAAAAATAATCGAGATAGTTCCTATTGAGAATATGCATAGAATCACTTTCTGAGTCGATTTATGCATGTCCGTCCGTCCGTCTGTCCGTCTGTTGGTGTTAAATTGTAAACAAAGTACAGGTCGCATTTATGATCCGAATTGGATGAAATTTGGCACAGCTCACTTGTTTGGCCCAAATTGAAATTGGGAAATATCGGGTCAGATTTAGATATAGCTTCCATATATAGCTTTGTCCGATTTTAGGTAAATAGTCCATGAAAGTCCCTGGAAATCTCCTAATTTGCACGAATTTTGGCACAGCGTAACGAATAAGGTCTAGAATGATGTCTGCCAAGTTTTGTGAAAATCGGTTCAGATTTAGATATATCTCCCATGTATATCTTCGTCCGATTTTATGTATATAGTCCACGAAAGTCCCTGGAAATCTCCTAATTTGCACGAATTTTGGCACAGCGTAACGAAGAAGGTCTAGAATGATGTCTGCCAAGTTTTGTGAAAATCGGTTCAGATTTAGATATATCTCCCATGTATATCTTCGTCCGATTTAAGGTAAATTGTGTACCAAAGTCCCTATATATATTTCGATTTGCACGAAAATTGGCACAGCGTACTAAATTAAGTCTACAATGATGTGTGCAAAGATTCGTGAATATCGGTTCCGATTTAGATATAGCTCTCATATATATTTTCGGCCGATTTTAGGTAATTGGAGCACCAAAGTCCCTGGACTGACTGATGTAATATAAATTAGTCTCTGGCAAGTTTCCCCGAAATCGGTTCAGATATAGATATATAACAAAAACGTGTCGTCTGTTAGGATACATATATAGAATATACCCAAAGTGGTGAAAGGTATCATATAGTCGGCCCAGTCCGACTTTACTACTTTCTTACTGGTTACCCATAGGCCTATGGTTTCAGACCCTATTTGATCCAAACATTGCATACCGCTATATTTTTTATCAAAACTAGATTAAGTCCAAAGATGGAAAACATCGGTCTACAATTCTTGTACGTCTCTCACAAAGAGTCAAAATTTTGTAAAGTTGTAAATCCAATATCCTAACTTTACACATCGTAATAACTTTACCAAAGTAGGGATCAATCGGTCCATCTCTCCTGTTAACCGTGACAACACCACAAACATGGCTAGATTCAGCTGATCGATATATGATGATCGGTACGTTTAATTATGGGTCTGGGACCAAAATTATGTGCTGTTGCAAAATTTAGGGGCCCCATCCAAACATAAAATTCCTTATGGAAAGGACATGCCGAGACATTCGAATATCAAAATTGCCATAGATCAAATTTTTGGGTTATAGTGTCATTTGTTGGCAACTCTAAAGTTCATGCCTATTGCATTTAATTTTTTTCCAAAAAAAAAGTACCTCAAAGTAAGATTTTTTACCTCCATACATTAAAAAAATGTCGCTCATAAGAATTTAGATATGGTCCCAAAGACATGAAATCACTCTTTGTATGTTTTCATCACTTTTTTCCACTTTTAACCGATCTTTGCGCAGGACTCATTAAATAAATTAATTAATTAAATAAATTGTCGATTACGAAGAAATGTCGGATTCGTCTGAAATATTTACCATAAATATATCACATGGTGCTAAACACGATAAATTCGCTTTATAAATTTCGAAGGCCTTCCATTTCCACAATTTTCCGCTCTCCAGACAATGAGCTCAATATAATTTTGGATATTATTTTAATATTTGAATCGAGTGAAAGAAACTGTTATGGCAACCTTGATGAATATGTCATGACATGTTAAACATATAAATGTTTAATTAAAAAAAAAAACAATTTAATTTTTTAATTGAAACAATTTGTTAAAAAGTATATCTGTATTTACGACTTATGAAATATTTATTTAATTTATTTATTTTTTTGTTATTGTTTTTTTTTCCATTGCAGACCAACACATTCCAAATGGTTTTGGCCACGGATGAAGTTTACACCTATGCCATTTTTAATTACGATGTTATTAATTGGTCAGCTCATACTGAGGCCGGCGGTGATACGACACATGGTGAAGGTGGTGTGCCAGCTTTTGTAAGTATTAAAATAATTTTGGTATTATTTTTATTAAGGTGAATCAAAAACATAATGGGATGAAGAGGCGTTCATTGGTTCGCCAGTTACCTCAAATCGTAGGAAAAAGTATATATCGGAGATATATGTACATATGTATATAAATCTGCACCTTTCACATTTCTATAACGATAAGCTTATGGACTTATCCAGAGATTGGTTTTTTAAAGGTCTTAATCGTACAAACATGAGGACTTTGGGAACATAGTTTTGTGATATCGGGTGCGATATCTAAATCTGGATCAATTGTAACCTATTCAATAGGGTTCGTTTCGTATTTTACAGAATGAGGCTGCAAGAATTGGGATAATGCATAACAAGTGTTCTTTTCATATGTGATATGTCAGAAATACTCGCTAGTTAATATTCACGCTTTAAATTCGAATACATTGTCGATTGTAAACAGAACTTTAATAATTTTCCTTAAAACGCAATGTTATGAACTTCCGAACAATTTCTCCATATGTTCAAGTGTTGCGCGTCAGTAAATATTTAAGTATATTTCGTATATTTAATTTCTCTTTTTTTTTTGGTTACTAAACAACAGAACGTGAATAGCATTTGTAGCCACGAATTCGGAAGTAACAACAAAAGAAAAAAACAACACAATTCAAAAAGTCTTCATCACACCAAAAAGAAACCATAGCAGCAACGGCAGTCACATGCACGAGTGAATAAGTAAATATTTTGACATAAGGATATGCTAGAGACACAGATGTAACACGTGTTGTAGTAGCACACACATCCATATGTAAACTCGTATGTGTTTTACTGCATACACGACGTGTCTATAATCACTAACACTCTACAAGAAACAAAAACAAGAAAGTACAACAAAACAACAACCTAAACTATTAAGAAGATTAAAAACATTTATTTTTCTATTTCTTATAGCGTTGGGGTTGGGGCTGGGTGTGTTTTCTTATTTTAAGAAAATTAACTTTTCTTGCCAGCTAAAAATAACTTAACAAGAATATACACTTAATTTTTTAGCGAAAATGTCTTAAGGCCTAGTTTTCTTACACCATGTCAGGTGGTTAATAAAAAAATGAAAGAAAACGAACTTTTGTGAAAATCGGTGTTAATTTGATGGGGCAAAGTGTTAAACAAGTGAAATGTGTGGGTTTTGTGGTAATAATGGGAAATTTTGATGAAAGATTTTTTTTTGAAAAATATTTAAAAGTGAAACCAAAAATATTCACTTAATACATAGTTTTAAATTAAATTTTAAAATGAAGTGGAATTCAAATAATTTATAATTCAAACGTCCAGAAAAAAAATATTTACGAATTTTCAATTTATGCGGATTAAAATTTTCTAAGGATTGTTAGGTTTATAGAATTATCGATTTAAAAAAAATAATAACCGGAAGAATATTTCATTTGGTGTTTCTTTGGAAGACGACATTTTGATTTTTTATAGAAGATGACCATAGAAAATGAGATCATCTATAGAATAATATATTTTATAGGTTTGTTATGATATTTTCAGCTTACTGAAAAATTTCGGTCTTCTACAGAAGCAGATAAGCTTATAGCCTGCACTCTAAGTTGGAGAATCAATGCAATTTGTGATTCTGTTTGACACACCCTTAAAACAGAGTAAAATTCTGATTAAGTATTCTGATCGGACGTGATATATTTAAGACAGAGCATTGTAATTTTACCTATAAATAACTGCTGATTCTATGGTGAATAATTGTAACGCTCCATATTAGATATTTTGAGGACATTCGAGCCAAACCATTTTTGATTCATTCCACATTTTTATACCCTTCACCACACTGTGGTAAAAGGTATTATGTCTTTGTGCATATGTTTGTAACAGGCAAAAGGAAACGAAATAGGCACATGGTTCATTTTGAGAATATGCATAGAATCACTTTCTAAGTAGATTTATGCATGTCCGTTCGTTCGTCTGTCCGTCTGTCCGTCTGTCCATGTTAAATGGTAAACAAAGTACAGGTCGCATTTATGATTAGAATTGGATGAAATTTGGCACAGCTCATTTGTTTGGCCCATGGACGAACCCTATTGAAATTGGGAATAATCGGTTCAGATTTAGATATAGCTCCCATATATATTTTCGTCCGATTCAAGGTAAATGGTGTACCAAAGTCCCTAAATATCTTTCGATTTGCACGAAATTTGGTACAGCGTACTGAATTAACCCTAGAATGATGTGTGCTAAGTTTCAAGAAAATCGGTTCAAATTTAAACATAGCTCCCATATATATTTTCGTCCGATTTAAGGTAAATTGTGTACCAAAGACCCTTAATATCTTTCGATTTGCACGAAATTTGGTACAGCGTACTGAATTAACCCTAGAATGATGTGTGCTATATTTCAAGAAAATCGGTTCAAATTTAAATATAGCTCCCATATATATTATCGTCCGATTTAAGGTAAATGATGCACAAAAGTCCCTAAATATCTTTCGATTTCCACGAAATTTGGTACAGCGTACTGAATTAACTGTAGAATAATGTCAGCTAAGTTTCGTGAAAATTGGCTCAGATTTAGATATAGCTCCCATATATATTTTCGTCCGGTTTAATGTAAATGGTGCCCCAAAGTCCCTGTATATCCTTTGATTTGCTCGAAATTTGGCACAGCGTAATGAATTAGGTACAGAATGATGTGTGTTAAGTTTCCTGAAAATCGGTTCAGATTTAGATATAGTTCCCATATATATTTTCGTCCTATTAAATGTATATGGTGCACTAAAGTCTCTATATACCTTTCGATTTGCACGAAATTTGGCACTGCGTAATGAATTAGGTTTAGAATGATGTGTGTTAGATTTCGTGAAAATCGGTTCAGATCTAGATATAGCTCCCTTAATATCTTTCGTAATGAATTAGGTCTAGAATGATGTGTGTTAAGTTTCCTGAAATCGGTTCAGATTTAGATTTAGCTTTTATATCTGACCAAATGAAAAATTTAGTATCGGTTGCAGAATGATATGTTTATTGTAAAAAACAGTAAAATTTAATTTTACTGTTCCTTTAAAAATGCGACGTCTGATAGGATTCATCTGTTGAATATACCCAAAGTGGTGAAGGGTATAATATAGTCGGCCCCGTCCGACATACTACTTTCCTTACTGGTTTTTATATGAACTATATGACTCTATTTAACATGCTTCGGAATGTCCGTTTTGGGCAAAATATGCACCGCTTGTGGTATGATCTGCTGACATTTTAAAGGTTACTTCATAATGCCTTTCTCATAGATGTCCTGCTATCTATTTGCAAAAAAACTCTAGTAGTCGATTTTCACAATCCACCAATTTTTTATCATTATAGAAATTTTGCAATGCAAGAAAAATATGATAATCGCTTGGTGCCAAGTGCGGACTGTATAGAGGATGCATTAAAACTTCCCAACCAAGCTCCCAAATTTTCTGGACGACAACACGGCAACTATCCTGTTGGTAAATTCTGGTCGTTTCTGGTCAATTGCTTTCTTCAAACGGTCCACTTGTTGACAGTAGAGATCAGAAATTAGCATTTGGCCTATGGAAGCAACTTATAATAAATAATCCCCTTCCAGCCCCTCCAAATGCATAGTAGAATCTTCCTGGTCGTTATTCCGCTTTTTGAATGTCCTTGCCTAATTTTCTAATCGAAGTGTATGTAATTTCGGTTCTCAGATGATAAGAGGCTAGTACAAATTTTGAAATATATGTACAAACTTAGAAGTAGATTCTAGTCACATTTCCCCCATATTTTTCTGTAATTTTGTATTTCGGAGTCTGAAAGTATAAAAATCCTTAACAAATGTCCTTTTTACGGAACTTTTGAATGGATGCCAGAATTTTCTAACCGACAAAAAACACATATCGGGTTGTCAGAGGATAAAACTCCTTTAGGCATTTGCCCTGCCAGAAAATGTTATCTACGTTTAGGTCGTATCTACAATAAAACCTGAAAAAGATATTCCTGTGATTTATGGAAAAACACTCTCTACTCGATCAGGTTTTTATTTCTATGGCGAAAAACTTTCAAAAATTCTTAACACAAGACCATGTGTTTATCGCTGAGCAAACAACTTTCTTTAAAAAAAACTTCAACCTTTCTACAGAAGATTATATTTGAGAAGGATTCTCAAATTCTCAGCATTTGTCTGAGAATTAAAATTTCCCTTTCTAATGCAAAAAGATCTTCTGCTCTTCTTTCATAGAAAAAAAGTTATTCAGTACTTCTCAGGGAAATATATCTTCAACTTTTCTCTAGGAGATATACATTTAAAACTTTAAAAGACTCTTGAATGGTGGTAAGAATACAATTTGTTCTTCTAGGTAAAAGCATTCGAAAATAAGGAAAAAAACATGACTGATTTTGTAAAAAGGAAGACCGTGTATAAATAAATAATGAAGGGTAATACTATAAATAACATCAGATTGTTATCCATAAAAACATCTAGTCTTGAACAAAATCCTTCTATACACTACAACATTCTGTGGTTCTGTGTGAGGAAAACATAAGGCCAGGCGGTATGTAGCAGTTTTTAGATGTAGCATACTTATTGTATATAAAAACAGGAGCACATTCTGATATTCAATTTAAAGTTTTTTTATGTTTTTACAGAATACACATTTTTATATAATAAAAAATCTTTGTTGAAAATCTGCCTTTAAGTTTCTTGTAGCGGAGAACCTTGTAGTCTCACTTATTTTCTAAAGAAACACATTTTTAATGAAAAATGTTTTTAATAACCTTTTTTCAATACAAGAATATTGGTCGAATATTGAAGAAGAAAATATTGCGATCTGGTTTTATTCTTCGTTCTTTTTTCGCTCCGATTATTAATATAATATATTAATATATAACGCATTTCTCATCATTAAAAATTATCGAAATTCAACAGTATTGATAAATATACAAGCAAATGATGCCACATTTTATTGTCTAACCATAAAGTGCTCTCCGTTCATGCATTCATTTATTCCATTCCAT